TCTCTCTCTCTCTCTGTCAGACTGACTTTTGTCCTGTTCCAAAGAGCCGTTATTGGGTCGATGTCCTCTTTACGCAAAGTAGCCGAATCTTCACTTGATGCTCCCAAGTCTCTTATGACGGTGTGTTCTTTTGAACAGCGGACGGAACTCGTTATTTTAAAATAAGGATGATTATTTTTTTTAATGAGGATTGTTTGAAAAAGAGGTAAATTGCCCGTGTGCAAAAAGAAGTAAATTACCTGTGTGCACCTGTGGAGGATGTCATTCGTTTTGGTCGTAGAGAGAGAGAGAGAGAGGGGGGGGAGGGGGAGAGAGAGAGAGAGAGAGAGAGAGAGAGAGAGAGGGGCAGGCCTCAGACATGACGCAACGCAGCTGGCTGATGGTGATGATCGCCCAGAACCACAGAATTCTACACTAAGTGTAGAATTCTGTGCCCAGAACACAGATAGGTGGAGAACTCTTCAGTCACGGTGGTGAAAGAGGCAACTGATGATTATTGAAGGGCTCTGTTACTTGTTAGATATACTGCTTTGGTTTATTTTGTGACCCTGTAGTGAACCCTGCTGTGATTTCTCGGCAAGCCGAGTTGAGAAAACACAAGTCAGTTAAACCTGGTTTCTTACAACAAAGAGAGCCAAAACAATAACAAAGCGGGAAAAGTTTGTAATTTTACATGTGCATGTTGGATAAATTCAACCTTGGTCTCCTGCTCTTCAAGTTCATGATCCCTGACGACTTTGGCAAGTTTTATTACAGGCTTAAACTGCATTTGTAAAAAGGGTACCTGTTTGGGGGGTATCAAAATTGCATTCTTTTCTTTAGCTTCACACTTTCATTATGAAAAAAAAAGACCCAACAAAAGGGGTTTGAGAAGGGAAAAGACTTTTCTTTTGCCTCCAGTGAAGTGATATCACCACCAATATGGATCACTTTGAATCCGTGCCTCTCTGTCCCCGAAAATTTTTTCAACTCTTCACATTAAGTATTTGTTCTTGCGACACAATATAGGTCATTATTCAGGGGTGGGCTGCTTTGACAATGTCTTCCACACCGACCCGGTGAGTGAGCCACCAGACAATCAAAACGTTTTGTGTTTCTTCAAATAAATTAAGCAGAATGCAATAACTTCTCCCTGCCACTTTTAAATTACTGTTCTTTTTCCGTCTTTTAACAGTTGCCTGGATTCAACTGCGGCCCATGGTTCGATCTTGAATGCTACATTCGAGAGAAATTGGTCAGAGAAAACAAGAGCGTCTACGTCTGTTCTGGACCGCTGTTCCTTCCGGTGTAAGTACCCGTGAATAATTATATTGCTCTAGTAGGGTTATGCAACAATCGAACGCTTTATGTTGGTGAAGATTTG